AAAGGTAAATGTGAGCAAACAGGTATCAAAGGCTAACGAGTTCTAGGATAAAGTGGGTTTAGCCACTTCTTGGACTCCGGGAGATGTAATAAAAATAAGCTACTTTTCCGAGCTCTTTTTTTTTTTTTTTAAATACTGCACTGAAGGGCCTTCTCATCTGGCATATAGGGCAATTTTCTGCGTTTCTGCCCAGCTTCATCTGGGCAGCACAGAACAAGTTCCCACTTTCCCCTTTCTTTTATGCAACCTTCCAGAAGATGCAAAAGTGGATACAGTATTTGTTGGAGTTGCGGTATCATGCTGTATCACCTCTTTTCAACCAGCTATTACCTGGAACAAATTTCTGGATTTAATCCAGACGTTGGGTCAGGTCCCCTTCACTTCATCTCATTGTTTTTTTGTGTGTGTGTTGTTTTTTTGCCCTCAACTTTACTTTTTTTAAAAGCCTGCCGATGATCACCTTCTGCTCTTTGCAAGCCTATTTTAATAGTGCTGACCTATTTTAATCAGTTTAATCAAGAGCTCGGAAGTAAAGCTGAACTAATCTATACATCTGCGTGCTTTCATCTCTTCTAATCTCCTTGAATATTGGACTTAATAAGCCTGTGATCTCTTTTCGGCACCTACCAGCCTGTTTTAATCTCATTTACACATGTGCATATTTTAATCTCCCTTTTGTTCCTCTACATGGGCCAGTTTGCTCTTTTGCATCTCACAGCAGATTCCTCCAGGAATGTTTTATCTCAATGCAAAATAGGATGGTGAGACTCATTCACCAGCACCTCTGACTGTTCTTGTCTCCTGAATTTCCCTTAAGATAAATAAGGTCTTTCCAGGGCAAGCTGTTTATAGTAGATGCCCGTCATCAGTTACATCAGCTGTAACCAACCTAGTGCTTTTTAGATCAGATAGAATCTCTGGACAGCCTAATGAACGACCCAGCACCGCACAAAGGCTGAGCTGGCAAATAGCAGTGAAGGTGTGTGTAAATATAGAACACCTGTGAAAAGGATGATGATGGATCAGGAACACTACAGTGTGTAGTAAGCTTTAGAGGTGCAAGAAAAATACATTTCGCCTTTGTCCCCCCCCCAATACTCTCAATGGTCCTGGAAACGATGCTTAATTTCTAAATAGGGTGATGCCAGGAGTCAAGATGGCCCGTCCCACACTTTTGAATGAAGCTTGCTCCTCATTTTAAGGTGTTGGGGGGCGGGCAGTGATAAGAGAAGGAATTCTAATAGTTGCTAACAGTGGCTAATACAGTAGTTTATTTCTTTGAAATATGGTGCTGGAGGAGAGCTTTGCATTGACCCTGGACACAAGTGGGTCCGAGATCAAATCATGCCTGAACCATTTCTGGAAGCAAAAAAAGAGATTGAAGCTGAAAGGCTGACCTCCTTTGGGCACCTCCTGAAAAGGCAGGCTTCTCTGGGAAAGACAATAATGCTGGGAAAGGTGGAAGGGGAGCAGGAAAAGAGGAAGACCCAATAATACAAGATGGATCCACTCCCTCAAGGAAGCCACAAGACTTTAGTTTGCAGGAGCTGAGCAGGGTGTTTGAGGAAGGGACATTTTGGAGTTCGCTCCTTCATAGGGTTACCATGAGTCACAGACAACCAGGTGGCACACAACAACAACGACAACAACAACATATGGATGTCTCTTTCCAAAGACTTGCACTCGCTGATCTCCTCCACCAATGCTGTCCGTGTTTGCCAAAAGGAGCACGGATTAATCCGTGTTTGTTACTGGTACTTGTGTCTTTCTGGATCAGTGTGGAAAAACTCAAGTTTTCACAAATATGGAAATATACACAGCGACAGCCG